GTGGGGACCTCATGTGATTTGATGTCTGTGTTTCATGTGGCTCATTCACGTAAGATAAGCAAAGAATGTACTTGATGTATGTATTTGATATATGATGCTTGATGCGCCCAGTCATTAGTAACTTAACTCTAAACTGTACATAACCACTCGTCACATGTTTCATGACTTTGCTGTTCTAAAGGATTTGAACTTGATTTTTCTGCAAACGGGTCTCCATGTTGCGCATTGGGATTCAAAATGCTGCTAAAACTTTTATTTTTAACTGCCAGCGAAGCCTCCATATTCCTCAGCCGTGAAAAAGGCAGGTGGAGGCACCGTAAAAACCTAAAAACACAAAACCTAAACACGACCCCAAATCACAGAGATGCCAATCAGCACGGGACTAATATTATCACACAACCTCTGTGTCTGTCATTTGCGGTGGAGTTTTTACTGAACAAATTATGTACATGGCAGATTTGCACAGGATTAAGATCACAGATGACCTCCGCCATAATTACAAATTACCAGAGGTCCCCAGATAAAAGTAGTCCTGGGCGAACAGGGCTTTACAGAAAGTTACAGTAGATAATAAAACTGATACTACACTCGTGTTTCTAAATGAACTAAGATCCAATTATTTTATCCCTTTCAAGTGTATTTGCCAAAAAAGTTGAACTATTGGCTTAATGCCGATAAGAATGCAAAAATAGATGCATGTTACCATGCTAACAGTGGCATGTTAGCTTGTGAATTAAAGATATACTACGCAGGATTTTCCTATAAAATAATATATAGACCCATACATACAGATGTAAGCCCTCTCAATCTTTACTTTTGACCCACTAAAAGTGTGTGGCGATGTATTATTATTTTATCTGCAGAGACTCTGCCCTCTGCCTGGATTTTCTTATCTTCTGTGTACAGGACGTTTAAGAGTGTGAGGCTCGGGCCTCATATAAAGGTCACAACCAGGTGCTAGACTGCAAGTACCACGCAGCCAAGAGACACAGCGCCAAAAAAATGGAAATATAATGAGGCTGAATGCCAAACAAGTGAATCTGGGGTTCACATCTGCTTTCCAGTTTGCGGGTGAATGTGGTTACAAACAGTAACTGACAATCCTGCATAGCATACCTCTAACATACATGCTAAACTCCAGCAGTTTAGTGAGCTATCAACCTGGCAATCATTAGCACTTAGCATGTTTAGCATGTCATGACTTAGGTCAAAGCACAGCTGAGTCTGATGTCCTGAAATGGCCACTGTTCAGAGGATAATCTGTCCTTTCCTCTGGGACAAAGTAGGCATTTTACACCCTGTTAAATGTAAAGATAGAAGTCAAACTTTTCTCTGTTTTTCATCATCCAACAGTTTTGTTTTTGGCCACATGGGGCCTCTAGTGTGGCTACACTGTTTTAGTCTTGTTATTAACCACAAGCATTAAGTATTTTATTCAGCCTTCCTTCTGTTGCAGGAATTTGTGAAGGATTTGGCAACATGTTACATATGTACATTTCTTGAGAATAGTGTGGGAATTGTTTTTATCCTCCTGTGATACATTTTGGGGGGCTGACCCAGTGCTTGAAAAGCCAGCGGGCCACAGAGCCATGTGTACAGGCTTTAAGTTATTAACCTCTTTTAGAGGCTCACATTAATGGCCAGTTACAACTAGAGTGCCTATGTTTACACCACAGACTGTCCACACACTAAACTGCAACCTACGGACAGTTAAGAACTACAAAAATGAAGAACCTACAGTAAAAAGACCTGCACAGTGAATCAGCCATATTCAGAAGGCTCTTTTTGGGGGGTGGATTGTTGGATTTCTGCACCACAAAATTGTACAACAGTGTTGCAATGCAATGCAATTTGAGAACAATGCAACTTTTGTCTTTTATGCATGACAATAAACGGCAGACGGAGCCAAGTTCAGGAAACTTTAGCCATAACCACCAAATCACAAGATTGAGTCGTATGTTTTAGGCTGAGTACCATCAGGTACCAAACACCAGTAGTGCACAGAATAAAATATTTTAAGTATTGTTTTGAAATGTGTCTGTGTGCTTTTTAATCATAAAATCTGCTGTCTTGGTTGTGTGCAAGTGTAAGGAAACAATGTGGGATGAAACTCAAACTTGATGTAGAGTTTTTCCTGAATACCTCACACTAACACATTTGAACAGGTGCTTGTGGGGAACTAAACCCCTCAAAGGTGGCGATGACAGTGCTGTTGTCAATCCACTGAATGACAAAGGATATATTTTAAGTGCATCTTTGAGGCAAAAGCCTTAATTCTGCATTTACAGGAAGCACTACTGTTACCAAATACTGACTTGTGCTACCCTGCAGCAGAAGAGATCATATCAGACCTGATCTGTCCTTTAGAGGACTGAGGCTTGTCTCACTATTTACACTATATTTTGTAAGCATTACATTGTATTGGCAATAATTTCACAGAACAGTATAAACAGTTGACCCTGCTGAAGTATTCGTTTACAAAGCTTCGAGTACATTATGCAAAAACTGCTGCTTGTACACAAAAATCACCTAGTTTGACACAAACTTCTTCGCCAAAGCTCTACTTGCACAAAATTTCTCTGAATCTCGTGGCCACTGATGAAGGTTGTTTCCAGGGAATATTTCCAGTAAGTGGACATTTATCAAAGCGTTTTTTTCCTAGATTAAAAGGTCGAAAATCATATGGCTGGAGTGGTGACCTGTCATCCTGCCAGGTTAGAGACTGGTGCAGCAGATGCAGTCAAAACTGTTATAATGGGCTCAAATGAAGAGTAAATTAAGGGCTGGTTGATATGGAGAAAATCAAATACCACTATATTTTTGACCAAATACCTTGATAGGATATTGATATTGCAACAATATTGTAAAGTTAACTACTGATAGGTACTTTCACAAAATATTTACACTACGCAATATTCATTCATTCATTTTCTGCAACCGCTTATCCTGTTAAGGGTTGTGAGGGGGGGCTGGAGCCTATCCCAGCTGACATTGGGTGAGAGGCGGGGTTCACCCTGGACAGGTGGCCAGACTATCACAGGGTTGACACATAGAGACAGACAACCATTCACACGTACGGCCAACTGAGAGTCACCAATTAAGCTAACCTGCCAACCTTTGGACTGTGGGAGGAAGCCGGAATACCCAGAGAAAACCCACTCTGACACGGGGAGAACATGCAAACTCTGCACAGAGGGTCTCTCCCACCCCAGGGTTCAAACCCCCCAACCTAGGTTCAGACCAACCAGGAACCCTCTTGCTGTGAGGCGATAATGCTAGCCTGTTGATATAATGACTAAGTGGGTAAAGGCAAATAACAGAACAGAACAATCTGTAAGTTCAGAAAATTAAATGACATCACTTCACTGTACTGCAGCCTTTGAAACCAGGACAAGACAACACTTTACATATTTAAATATCCAAGATCTTATACGATATCTAGTCTTTTATCACAGTATTAATATAATATCAATATACTGCCCTGCCCTATAATGCATAATAAATTAGGCATGCTTGGTATTCTGAGAATGTCTTTGTGGGTTTTTTTGGTCCCTCCCAGGTTTCATTTCTTTCGTGCAGCCAACCGAGACGAATTAAGAGTCAAGAGTTTAAATAAACATCTTCAGACATACTCTGAATTAATTCACCCTGAATTCAGAACAGTATTATACTGTAAGTGATCTATAAAGCATTAAAAAAGAGATTAGTTACAACTTTCACACCCCTGATGAGGACTGGCTTATTACAAAGTGGTAACCAGTGATTCAAAACATTATCTATCCACCCATACATCCCAGTGGTGGAAGAAGTACTCACAATTTTTACTGAGTAAAAGTAGCAGTACCACAGTGTAGAAATACTGTTACAAGTTAAAGTCCTGCATTCAAAATTTTAAAAAGTATTATCATCAAAATAAGGTGCCACAAATAAAATAACTTATTGTGCAAAATGCCCCATTTTAGAATAATATATATTTTACCACTGAATTATAATTATTGATGCATTAATATTTTCATCACATCAATGCTGCAGCTGGTAAAATTGGAGCTAATTTACTTTATATACTGCAGAGGAGCCTGTGAGTTGATTGATTAATAATGTTTAATTTTAACCTATAACATCACATCACTTCATTTATATTTTGTATGATCATCTAAATCCACAAAGTAACTAGAGTTAAAGGTTTTAAATAACTTACTTCACTAAACATACCAAAAAAGGTCAGATGAAGGTCATGTGACACATTTATTTTGTGTAAACTTTTAAGTTACTGAAATAGAAAGTTTTGCGTGCAAATAATATCTGAGTAGAGTGAGCACATTGAAATTTAGTTGAATAATGAAACATTTTACTTTAATTTGACCTTAAAATTACAATGTATAGTTGTTGTTTGTACATAAACATACTAAGTTTTGACACATCACTTTGTTTGTGTTGAATAAATATAAAAATAAACATTCAGAAAACAGGTAATTTCATGTCATATGTATTCCCTGTGATTACGAATATTAAAATAATTAAATTTAGAAAATAGTTCTGTTGAACTGACAAACTTCCAGTCAGACGAGGGTCATGCACCATTTATTGTGTCTGGTGTTTCTCATAACTTTCATGTTACTGTACTAAACTAAAAGTTTTGTGTGCAAACTGGTTCCAATGAATTTTAAAGTTGAGTGGAGGAACTAGGAATCACTGTAACCGGAAATAACACCTCACTTCATTTAGCCTACATTTCGCATTATGTCCAATCTGAAAAGTAACTAGAAACTAAATGTTATAGGTAAGAGGTGTAATATTTGCCTTTCAATTACTAAAATAAAGTAAACACACTTCAAACCTTCACAGTAATTGTCCCACAGGCTCCTACCGGTAAGCCTGCTATCTGCGCGGACCATCAGTCCGTGAGATATTTATGACGCGTCTGACAGGTCATAGGCGGGGTTCTCGTTCATTTCATTATTGCCAGGCATAAGGAAGTTATCAGTGCTTTGAGTCACAGTCTCAACACGACAAACACAGAAGCAGCAGTTTCTCTGTAAAGGCATTCCGAGGATTCCTCGCGCTCCATCCTCTCTACCTGTCCGACAGGTGTAGCCGGCTGTCGCGACTGACGCGCTCCGTGGCTGACGAGAGGAAGGCGGCTCTGACAGGGGGACAATTCATGGTCATCTATGGGTGAGTGTCTGCGGAGAGCTTGCCCATGTCTGGAGTCGCTATGGCAGAGGATTTTCACCGACAAAAAGCCTCCTGGACCAGAAGGAGGAGGAAGTAACGATGGTGGAAGAGGAGGAGGAGGACAGGTGAGGGACAGCAGCAGTGAAGGCGGCAGTGAGGAGAGCCCACCGAGCCCGGCACCGCAGGACAGGGTGCCCGAGAGCGGCGCCATCTACACGGCGCTGTGGTCGTTTGAGGCCCGGCACACGGACGAGCTGTCCTTCCAGGAGGGGGACATGTTCAGTGTTGTGGACCGCAACGGGGACTGGTGGAAAGCGCGAAGGATCGACAAGAACGGGTGCATCCTGGACACCGGGATCGTGCCCAAAAACTACTTGGACCGGGCCGAGTCCCTGCAAATGCAACCGTGAGTGGACTTCTGTTTCAGGGAGTTAACTTATTAAGTATTTCTGTGTCATTTCCACCCATGACTGCGAAGCAATTTCATTCAGCAGACCTAAATCTGTTCCTTGTTTTACTTTTACTGCACAATTGACGTGATCATTTCAGCCCTGAAGCGAGTCAAACTAAACAATGAGCAAAATATGGAGATTATTATTAAATTATAGCAAATGATCAGGGGCTCTGTTGTTGGAGGGGACATAAAAATTAATAAATTATTGTCACCAGGCAGTGGCGCATCTAAAGGGGGGACCAGGGGGACCATGCCCACCCTGATGCAATTGCTGCTGCCGCCCCCAGCAAAAATAACTGGAGGCTGATCTTACTGTCTTAAGTAGGCTGTGGCGCTCTTATTTTGAGTCAGGGCAAAGACAGCTGTACCTTGTGAAACTAGACGATCTAAAGCAGGATATATACTTGTGTGCCGGCTCTGTGCGGACCCTACGCTGTAGCCTATACACACGTGGCCTATGCTGTTTTGAGTGTTTATACATGTGTGGTGGTGTGTCTGTGTCACTCTGCAAGTTACACCTCCAAACACTAGTCGACGATGGGGTTTCTGTTAAGTGCTGTAAAGTTTAGTTGATTCGAAACACACATTAAACACACATTAAACATGACTTCATAGCAACAATTTCAAACACAAGTACACAAATCAGCTTCACTATAACTCGCAGCATTCACAGACAAACACTTGTCTTTCGTCTGGGCACATTTTGCTTACAAATACAACACGCTAATGTTATTAGCACAAGCCTATGGCATTTTACATTGTATAAATTTGGCTAGCGGCTAGCAGACTTTTCCTCTACTCATATGAAGCCAGGGACAACAGCAACATTTAACAAAGGTAATGTTACAAAATTTGGCTCCATTACAACTCACAAGGTTCACTGACAAAACAACTGTCTTATACTAAACACGTTTTCCAAACAAATACGATATGCTAACATTAGTAGCACAAGCCTATGGCATTTTACATTGTATAAATTAGCCTAGTGACAAGTGGAGATTTACTCTGCTCATATGAAGTCAGGATAAATCACACACAAGACTATTATATTTGTATATTTATATACTATATATATTTTGTGGAGGCTTTATTGTCTTCACAATTTATTGTTTCTTAACTGTGAAATTAAAGTAAATAAAAGTTTTGTTTCACTGAGGAAAATGGTTTCAGCTTACAGAAATAGACAGGACATATTGTATAGTTACATTTCTGGGGAGGTGCACATCAGGCTATGGCGTAAGGTACGTAGTATGGCGTCGGTTTGACGCAGAAGTATAAATCCAACATAATGCATCCATGCCGTGTAAGCTTGTCAGGAAGTAGGCTAAGGATTACTCCAAAGTTAGGCTAAACTTTGGCTCAGTAAAAACTGGCATGGCGATTTTTAAAGGGGTTCCTTGAACTTTCACCTCAAGATATCTGAATGAATATAGGTTCTATGGGTGTCAACAGTGGCTATCATGATGCCAGTGTCTCAAGCTGAGCTCAATATTTCTATATGATGAAGAGAATTAGAATCAGAGAGCATTTATGCTCATTGCATAAAGAGTATACATCGAAATTAGGTGTGCTACGTCTCATGTAGCTCATCAGGTGCCAACTAATCATTAAAACAAGCAAATAAAAAACAGACGACATAATCACCATCACCATCATTCATAAAATCAGAAACAACTAGTGTTAAAAAAAAAGAAGAAAAAAGACCGTATCAAGGTGTTGCATAGGAAAAATAAATAGTGGGTTGCACTGATTACTCCATATATTTTGATTTATTAGGCTGGCGGCCCATGTGACTTAAAGCTCCTGTATCTCCTACCAGAGGGCAGGAGAGAAAACAGTTTGTGACCCAGGCGGGAACAGCCTTAATGATTATCTTGGCTCTGCAGAGGCACCTGGAGCTGGAGATATCCCCCAGAGAAGGCAGAGGGCAGCCAACGATTCTTTGGGTTCTTGGGCACAAAACTATTTCAAGCTGATCTAATTTACTGCCTCAGCTGGCTTCAGCCTCAGCTGGTGTTTTATAGTGGAGGCCAAACCTATGAAAAGTGAAACTTTGCTCCTGGAGCTTCCTCGTTAAGGGTAAAGTCTTTGCATTTCTTTGAAACGCTGGAGTCAACACGTGTCGGGAAACACATTTTATGGAGCGAAGGAAGGGGCAGGAAACATTTCAATTATGTTGTCACACATTTCAGTTTCTTTAAACTGCACCATGCACAACACAGAGAACCTGACAGGTATGTGGTATGTACAGTATCTTACTATGCTACGAAGATACTCAGCATACCATTGTTTTTGTTTTTTTTATGTGCAAGTCTAGAAAATTAAATTAAAGGACCAAATACAAAAAAAGCTTCAGTTTATATTTTCATGTTGTGCGTTTGGAGCTTTGGATTAAAAACCATGCAGACTTCTTAGTAACCTTCCACCTCCTGCTGCTGTGTATTAATTCCCCTTTTTCTCTAATAACAAGTGAGTATTCATACAGCTGTAACTTCACATCATGACAAATACCAGTTTTCTTCCCACTCAATCTCAGAAACATCCTTCTGTTGTAAGCAACACTGTGAGAACTGTCAATAACACCTTTCATAGTGTCAGTCCCATGTCTGCGTGTCTCTTAGCAGTGTTGCAAACTGTAGTGCTGACACTGACACTCGGCCTCAACGCTTCTTGTTTTGTCTGTCTCTATGGGAAGTGTGCTATGTGAGGTTATTCCCACATTTCAGCAGCTGCTGGGGGGCTGAAATAATTATAGAGTTGCAGTCTCTTGCAGTTGCAGTGTCTTTATGAATGATTATATTATTATTATTATATTGATATATAGAGATATTATATGATTTTATGTTTATATTACTACAATTTAGTGCTCACTTAAAAAAAATTACGTTGATACAATGCCAAATTAACAGTTCACTTAAAGGTCCAGTGTGAAAGATTTAGGGGGAATTAGTGATGTCTAGAGGTGAGGACTGCAGACTACAACCAGCTGAAACTTCTCTCTGTTTGAATTCCTTCAGTGTTCATTGTTCAGGAGGTTTTTAGCGGGAGCTGAATTTGCTGCAGAGGTCTCCTTCTCTCCAAAACAAACAAAAATGGCGATTTAAACCAGTTGAAACATTGAATAAAGCACATTGAAAATCTGCTTTTCAGACACTAGTCGTAATGGAGGACTGCTAACTACGGTGGCCAATGCAAAAATGTGAATGGCCCCATCTAGAGCCAGTGTTCGGTTTGTCTGTTCTGAGCTACTGTAGAAACATGGCGGCACAACATGGTGGACTCTGTAGAGGACCCACTCTCTATGTAATTATAAACATCTCATCCTAAGGTAACGAAAACACAAGGATTCTTATTTTCAGGTGATTACACACGAAAGAAAACATGCTTACTTTACTATATTCCATTTCTGCTAATATACTCCCCTAAGTCCTACACATTGGACCTTTTAAGTAGTAACCTCAGGGTTGATGGTGAAACTTAGTTGCAGCCTTAACATAACAATACTATATTCTGTGTTTCTATTATTCAAAGTGACGGCTGTGACGGGAGAAGTCATGGAAGACAAAAAGAAAATCAAACATATTGGACTTTCTGTCAGGGTGTTGTGAGGCGTCCCAGACATGGCGTCGGTTGTTGTGTACTATAACACACTGCACGGGATAAAACGATGGATTATCGCACACGACACTCGTTTTTGTTCAGGATCCGAACCGACACCGTATGACCGCTGTGTATGGCTATAATCAGGCTGATATTGTGTAGTCTAAACTATTGTATATGAGAAAAAAGAGCTTTAAATCCTCACATTTGAATGCTTGAAAGTTTGTTTGCAAAATGACAAACTATTAACTGATTATTAAAAACAGCTGGTGATTAATTTTAGGTGCCTTATTTGTTAAACATAGTGTCACGCTGTTTGTCACTTATGACAAACAGCAGATTTAATCTTAAATACTGTTTTAACCATGAATGCTACGAGTCCATCTGTAGAACCAAAACTGCAACCAGTAAATACACAGATAAGAAATAAACTCACAGATAAGTTCCACTTTAAAGTACAAAAAAAGATCAGCTGGAGTTACTGCTCTGCAGGTGACACTGCAAAAGTCTTGTTAATGTAAAATGTATTTTAACTGCATTAAGAGCAAAGAGGACTCCACGCATTCATTCACTGCTTGTTCAACACTACTTTCAGCTTCAGGCCACCATCAGAGACCAGATGTCTCTCAGCAGCAAATGCTTTCTTTGTTTTGTGTGTTCTGTACTGTACTCTGCTTTTGCACCTGCTAAAACATGTGACATATTTAGATACTTTGAGTGTTCAAAGTTAGACCTTGAAAACTGAAACCAGATCGCAGGATATCCACAGGTACAGACTTTTGCGTGTTCAACAACACCAAAAATAAATTGCCAGATCTTTCATACACCTAAGATTATTACAAAACTTATCTTCAAAATGTATCGTGTACCATTTATGCAATAACGCAGATTATTTTGGTTACCACAGAGTTAGAGTCTGAAACCATGAGGCCACTTCCTAATAATTACTTTCATTTATGGCTTCCTGTCTTGATTCAGATGGTTTTTTGGGACAATGAACCGCTTTGAGGCCCAAGGCCACCTGATGGCACCAGGAAATGACAATGGAGCTTTCCTCATACGACACAGCGAGAAAGACAAAGTTGGATACGTTCTTTCAGGTAAGACGAGATGAAGAGGGCTGACTGAGGATGACAAGTGGCGTGCTATGTCATTGGCTTAAAATAGAATAAGGGAAGAGCAAAAAAAATGTGCAGGATGTGTTTTGTAAGAGAGTGAGATAAGGGGGAAGAAATTTGTAAAATGTAAGAAGAAGAGTCGGCCTTAGTTTGTGGCAAGAAAGGTATGAGGAATCCAAGAACTTAGGAAGAGATTCCCACATGCACACAATCAAACGCAGTGTTATTGGAGAACATAGATACTTAATTTATCCCTTGCTGGGACTTTGCCTGTCACAGCAGCAGTACACAAATACACCATATAAAGAAGGGCGCAAAAACAAATCTCAAAAGTACTGACATAATTTCTTTTAAGGTATGCCCTTGCAATAAATTAAACTATAAGTTAGTAATTGAAAAAGTTAAAAAAAAAAAGATTAATTGCACTGTGCTAAAAGATACAGAAAATGTAATTGTTAAGTCCAGTATATCACATTTTTCCTTACCTTACTTCCTGTCACAGGAACAACCAGCTTGTTTGGCCATTCTCACTATAAGAATAAAAATTTAAAAACACGTTTGATAAAGTTAAATATAATTCTAGCTGCAAGGCACTTGGAGAAAACAACCTGACCCAGAGATTATTGCAGTTCAGCTGAACTTCAACTTGTCTGTTAGTTAAAGACATAGCAAGACGTTAGGGGAAATACACGTATTCGCTTTCTGGCATAAAGTTAGATGAAAGATCAATACCACCCTCGTGTAGGATAAATATGAAGCTACAGCTAGCAAAAGGTTAGCTTAGCTTAGCACAAAGATTGGAATCAGGGGGAAACAGCTACCCTGGTTCTCTCCCAAAGACAGAGTCCAACTAACAGAATCTCTTAAGCTTATTCAGTGATTAACACTGGGGATGCACGATATTAGATTTTTTTTGCCGATATCCAATATGCCAATATATAACGACTTATTTGGCCGATAACTGATACTGATAGATATATCCATTTTTTTCCGATCCTAATTTTAGTGATCATCAAGTCTCTTCTGTGGTAGAATTAACATATTATACATGCATACTCTCATCATGACAGCCCACCAGCAGATGGAGACATGAAGTAAAATGCTTGTCAATGTATGTTGGCCAATACTGAGAATTCATTTTAAAGCTGATATTGGCCGATACCGATGACGTGCCGATCTTATCGCGCATCCCTAATTAACATGTTATAGTTCTGGTCTTTATAGGTTTGCTATGCAGTAATTGTTGGTTCCTTATTGTAAACAGTATTGCTAGTGAAATTGAAAGACACCTCTAGATTCACTCTGCTTGGCATTTTTTTTTGCTTTGCTATATTTGCAATTTTTCAGCACTGTGTCCATGATTCTGCACAACTTCCTCTTGGATGCAGGCTAGTTACAGCCGGGCACCTGGTCGTTACGATTTTATAAAGCCATAACCTCACCTGTGTACTGAGCCCAGGAATGTCTGAACACAGCATAATAAGAACAAAATAAGTCATAGTGGGTCTTAAGCGATGACAGAGAGGGATTACTTTCATATGAGAGAATACATTGTTTTTTAAAAAAATAAAATAAAATCCTGCATAGTATACCTCAAATCACAGGTACGTTACATTTGTACAACTTTTTGTAGCAGATATGTTGAAATTTAATGTTTCTCAAGAACACTGTAGTGAAGGTGTGGTTAGGTTTAGGTACAAAACCACTTGGTTATGCTTACAAAAACATCATGTTTCAGCTTGAAACACTTTGGTTTGGAGGCACGTAAGCCGTTGAAAAAGAAGGGACAGGTTGGTGAAAAACGCTCAGGTTTGGTGGCCTCAACGATGCTGGAAAACACCCCCATGTGTCAGTTAAAAAACACCCAGGTTTGGTGCTACAATCACTGGTGGAAATGCTGCACTGGTTCACCAGAAAACAACCAGTGTTGTTGTTTGTTGGTCTGTAGTGTTCTACAGCTTGGCAGCTGTCTCACTTAGGTGTCAGTTCCTTCAAGTTGACTAAGAGTAGAGTGGCACATATCCAAACAGAAAAACAAATAAAAACTAAAGAAATGTAATTTGGATGTTACTGTGCGACACCCAGACATGTGCTGACTTATAGGTGTGATCGCTGTGTTAACTAGAAAGTGGTAAAATTCTCTTCTTTCCATCTACGTGCCTGTCTGTGTATTACAGTAATAAGGCATTTTCCTGATGCCCTTTTAAAGAGCAACAGCACAAGCGTAACCACAGAAAATGTCAGTATTTATGTTTTCCATTATTTCATGCAGCGTACTAATCCGCACCTTTGGACATAACCTACAACAGTGGCTTCCAAAGTGACGATAGCCAAACCTGCAAAACCTGCAATAAATAAGATTCAGGTTGTAATAAACTGGCAGAAACTTTCATCAAAGACAAACATTTGGAAGAACAGTAAAAAGGGAATTTAAATTTAATGTCCCTCAGTCTTTTTCATTTCTTTGGGATCTACTGGGGCTGTTTGTGTAGCAGATTGAACTACAACACTTTGTTTACGATTATTAAGATAAATCTAAAGAATATAAATACAGGAGGGGCAGGATCTTTTGTGTCTGACTTTTTTTAACCACCTTTGCTTATGTCTGAATTGTGTTCATCTTTCTGCAGTGAGGTCAGCCAGTCGGGTGAAGCATTTTAAGGTCCTCAGTACAGCTGACAATAATTTTTACGTGGAGCCTAACCAACAGTTCGACTCTCTGATCGATTTGGTGGAGCACTACTGTGTCAACAGCCTGAGCAACAGCGGCACACTGGGAATCCCCTGCAAGAGGGTAGGACAGCCTCTGTTGACTCAGTTTCTGTCTTTTGCTTGTTTGTTCCTCTTATTTCTGGTCATGTAAAAACAAGAAGTGTGGACAGAGAGTTAACTCAGATAAACTTGTTGCCAGAGTGTTGTATATTGTTCATTATTCTGCTTCCTTCTGTTTGCATTATGTTGTTTTTTGCAACTGAGTCTGAACACAAAATTCACAAATAAATAAATAATAATAATAAATAAAAATGAAATCATGCAACAAAGATGCAGAAGTTGTCAGGGTGTGAATGGATCAAAACTACAATGCATGAAAGACAAAAGCCGCACCAAGTCCCACATGTGTGTCAAAACTTCTACATCAGCTTTTCGCAGTGATGGGGCAATGCCAAAGTGCAGAAAAACCCTGTTACAAGTCCTGTATTCAAAAATTTACTTGAGTAAAAGTACAAAAGTAAAAGCATCAAAATATATGGAGGCAAATCAAATCAAATCCCACTTCAGCCTTAAGCCTATTTCTCTTCTACATGGAGTAACTTAGGAATACATAGTGTCAAAGATCTATATATTAAAGGTACAGTTGCCTCCTTTACAAAACTACAAAAGAGAAAATCAGTAATAGAAAACATCTTAAAACATCACCAAACCAAATTAACTCCATCTCCTACTTGTATGACATCCTATTATCATCCGTCTCTCCATCTTCTAAAGGTTATAAAGCCAGTTGGGAAAAAGAAATAAGTATTCAAATACCAGATGACATATGGGAAGAAAGCTTTGAACATATACTCGAATGCTCAAAGAACGCCAGTCACTATCTTACACAATCTAAAACATTAAATGTCATTTCTCAGAAGCAACCCTTCATGACTTTGTGTTATGCCCTACAGTTGCATTTTTTGGTTCCATGTCCTCAACAGCATCTTAGAATCATTAATATTTCACTAAAACCAGCACCTATGTCAACATCAAGACAACGCTCCACTGCCCAACAAACATTCTTCTCTTACTGTATCATTAAGGCAAAAAAAGCTATTACTAATGTCATGGAAAGAAAACAGTTCCAGCCTACAGTATGTGACTACATGACCACGCTACATTTGGAAAGGTTAAGATACATCTTAAAAGGGCAGACTCCCACAGTATTTCTCTGACAGCCTCTCATATCCCATCTTGCACAAATGTCCTTCCATCGGGCAGTGCGTTCCAACAGGTAAGCCGTTAATAGTTTCAGTTACAAATCTACGCTCTCGTCAAAGCCACCAGACTACGTTGACAGAAACTGTAATTTTAGGTGGCTGAGCACAGGAGCTGCTGGTCTGCTGCTGCCTCGATCGGTTAGTCAGTTTGTTATTGTGTGAATTTGGAGTTTAAAGGGGTTGGTTTGGATTCACCCCAGTCACACAATAAGACAAATAAACAAACAGATCAAGGCAGCCATACACCAGCAGCTCTTGTGTTCAGTGATGTTAAATCACAGTTTTTCTCATTGGAGTCTGTGTTTGAAGAGAGTGATATAACGACCTCAGTTCCCTGACAGAAATCACTATCTTAGCGCATACTTAAACTGATTAAGAATTTTTTTTAGCAGGCTATAATATGTTGAGTCGCTGCCCTGGTTCACAGCACTACATTGCTTAGTTTTGTTGGCGGTACTCCTCCCTGCTTCTCCAAACTGGGGACTACCGACTGACATTGACTGTAGGTGATACACTAACTATGGATAAGTAGCCTATACAACCTCAACCTAAAAAGATCTGAACTATTCCTTTAATGTTCAGCCACTATAACAGCTTCTGTGTCAACTCAAAATGTCAGCAGGACAATTTGTCACTCACTTGGTCAGGGCAAAACTAAAGAGGCTAATCTCCGTCCCAACAACAAATCAGGAAACATGAACATAATGTTCGGATGAGTCATTCCTGCTCTTCATACTGGTCTCTCTGTTGTGCTCCTAATGAAGTGATGACGGACATTTTTAGTACAGAAATTGTGTACAGCGTTCACTGGGGCACCTGACAATTGTATTGTTTTACCGGAAGAATTGCAAACCTGTCCTGTAAGCCATGAAAGTGCTCTGTAATCACAGCAAGATCTTTTCACCTAGAGCAGAAACTAGTAGTCGATTGACAGGAAAATAATTATTTTGATAATCGATGATCCACTTAGGTCCTTTTTCAAGCAAAAATGCCAAAACATTTCCCAGTTTTGCTTCTAAATTATGAGAACTTGCTCATTTTCTTTGTCGTATTTGATAGTAAACTGAATCTTTTTGGGTTTTGGACTGTTGGTTGAACAAAACGAGACATCTGATGACTCCCCATTAGACTCGATGTATTTTAACACATTTCATATTTCAAAATTTTACAGTGATTCAGAGATTGAATTCAAAGATTGTCCGTTACATATGTATTTAACTTTATAAGTTATTTTTCTGAAAACTGTAGAACAGTCAATGGTATTCACGGCCAAGTGTCAGACATACTCAAATCCTGCCTTTATGCATGGATGTATAAGCTGCATTTGTGTCCCTTTATAATCTACAACTGTGTGCCTGCGTTTCCTCCATCAGAAAAAACCCGCCACACAAGATCTGAATCATTTTACAGTGGATGAGTGGGAGCTCCCGAAAGAGGAGTTCACCCTGGAGGAGGAGCTGGGCAGCGGCTACTTCGCTGACGTCTACCGCGGACGCTGGAAGAACCACATTAACGTCGCCATCAAGATCATCAAAAGTGGTACTTTATCATCTCTGTTAATCCGAGGCTGATTTAAAGTGGAAATAGAAAAGCCTTCCGTGTTAACTTATCAATTTACAGTAAATGGTAATACACAAATGCAGTGGAGTGAAAAGAACAAGGTTTCCCTCTGAAATATAGTGGAGTGCAAGTGTAAATTAAGTACAAGTAAACTTTGGTAAATGTCTTTAGATACTTTCCTCCACAGCTGGGAAAGAACAATTTGTGGTTTAAGGTGCAACAGCTCAATTTATTACTCTGCTTTTGCTCTGGTTCGCACTGCAAAAGTTTGTTGCAATGATTTGTTGATCGATAAAAGTGTTGATTAGTATTTAGAGTTTAAATTTCAGGCTTAATCAAGATGAGAAGCTTTGAAAGAGGATTACAGTCAGTCAGACAGTGATTCACAGGTGTGCATATCATTTAACAGATACATTTTACTTCCTGTTTGATTCCCATTAACAGAAGTTCGTCTCATACCCCTTTGACACCGAAATTAGCAGGCGCGTGCCGGTATTTCAAACACAGGTAAACCTGCTAAAAATAGACTATAGACTCCTTTATCATTGCCAGGAGAGCAAAGGTGTGTAAACGGACCTGGGGCAGATTGCCTTTTCATTTGGATCGCTGTTTGAGTGCTGCCTGAGCAAAGACAGACAGTATTTTGTGGTGGCACAACACTGCATCTTGCTGGTTAAGAGACTAAAAGTAGCACATTCACCTGAATGTGGTGTTTTGATCAATGCCGATCAGACCTGGAGCTGATAATTACCTGTGACTACTGCAAAGTCATTCGACCTGAGTGTGAATGCTGATTGTAGTCTTTCCCATTACATTGAAAAGCTTGATGTTAGCAGGTGTTGAGTTTTTTTGTGCAGTGTAAAAGGGGCATAAGTGAAGCTTTGACAATGTATTATATCACAGGTAGTGCTGACACAATTTGTCCAAAAACAACAACTTAGATCAATCAAATTATTGTTAAAGCAATTTCATCAAGCAAAATTGGTGCTCTTAAATGTGAAGGGGTTTTGATTTTCCCTGTTTTACATCACTGTAAATTGACTATCTTTTGATTTTGTCTGCTGGTCTGGAAAAAAAAAAAAAACAATTTGAAGGCATTCTCTTGGCTTCTTGATGGGCAAATTTTACAATTTTGACATTTTATAGACTTGCAGATGAACCAAAAATTGTTAGTTAAAGCCATAGTCTCTATATACAGACTCTACATTCAGTGAATGTAGAGTCTGTAGGCAAACCCTGGAGATCTTGCCTCCGGAAGAAGAGCGGAAGAGCCCTGGTTTCCGGTTGTAGGCTGTTTGAAGTCCGCAAGATGTTGACTAATCACGTTTGAGCCGGCTGTAGTTGTTGCCAGGTTAAACGTAAACGGTCCGTGCGGTGAACTAACAAGGTGGAACATAATTGGCGTCACTGCAAATCCATCGCACTGGTTCAGCATATTTACATATATATAAATGGAAGTCGGAAACGGAAATTCGCCTCCTCCACCCAAATCAAACCGGAATACCAAAAAAATCGGGGGTCTGCCCCCAGAGGCTGTATCGCCATCTGCCGGAAGTCAGACCCCCAATACAGCCGATGGGTTCCGAGAATGGTTAAAGCCCTAATTGCAAGCTCTAAATGTTTTGAGTTTTTGCACGAGGCATCTGCATTGTCTACAACATGTTAGACCACATTTAAGTGAAACTGGATGAGAGACAGAATAAGAATGTAGACATCCATCCATCATAGTAATCCCCACTGATAGACCTCTTTGCTGTCATACATAATTGGCTTTACAGGCAGTGTTGTTATGTGTGGAATTGCAGACACGATTGTATTGTTCATTAAGTAACTGCCCCTGTGTTGTGCAACTATCAGTAAAACTCTTTTCTATTTGAGTAAATATATCATATTGAATGAGCTAATGTTAATCTCTGTCTTTCTGATGTTTAAATAGTCACAATGTAGTTTTCATCCAGGACAAATGGATGTCTCAAGCTGAGATTGAACCATGGATGTTGTGATAATTTTTTGTGCATTAAATCAGGCAGACACTTTTCAAATGACACCACATTTGAACCGTGAAGTGGTTGCCCTCAACTAATTTTAGAATCCAGGTCAGATATCTGCAACATGCACTTTGTGGTCACGACACCTGATTATTTGCCTGAACAACTTTTAGACTGTCGGCTGGATTTCTGCCATGCCAGAAATTTTGGATGGCTGTCTAGAGCATGAGACAAGACAAAACTTTATCAATCCCACACTGAGGAAATTCATTTAACAGCAGGAAAATAGAAAACAAGGTAAAATGAGACAAGATGAAAATACAAATATGATCAGAATAAAATATGAAATCTATGTACACCATTCACTTATACAGATACTGTATGTCCACGATTAATAGCTGCAAATAATCATATCTTGATAGATATAAAGGACAACTATCCGTAGTCCAGTATATTTGTTTTCATCCAGAACAACTGGATCAATTGTGTGTAACAAACATTTGTAAAAGTACAGTGGGAGTGGTCAGGTGAGCCATTTTAGAAGCATAAAGCAAAGCCACAAAATGAACATGTCAAGAAGCTCCCTTATCTGATTAACCTTCCACTGTACAGTAATAATGTAAAACGCTTATGTGTGTCATCATTTCCAGGAATCATTGTTCAAAGGCTACCTTTAGACTGAAACTCAGGCCAGTTTATTGTTAATGATTCTTGATATAGTTTACGTCGAGCTAGTTTACAGCAGGAAACAGCCCTTCAAAATAAAAGCTCTGTGCCAGAAATTCACTGTACTTTGAAATAAAGTGTGTTTTGTACAAATCTGACACATTTACAAGTCACTTGTGGTCCATTCAGAATGGACCTGCAACCTTTTTTTAGACCATGACCCACCAGTTGGGAAACACTGGTATATGACCATTTCGACATAATAAAACAGGATTTTTTTAATCATTCTATTTGTCTGTAAAGTCATATTTGTGTCGTAAACCTAGTTATTAGATTTGAGGTCCTTGAGACAAAAATGGTGGAAAAGGAGATACTGCTTTAAGAATTGATTAAACAATTGAACACTGACCCTATACAATGTCACAAAATTGTTTGTTCTGTCCAACCAACAACAACAACCTCTTTATATTTTTGGGTCTCGTCTCGATTCCTGTAGCTGCTCAGTCAGCAGCAGTTGTAGTAGGCTGCATTAGGTATGTTAGCCTCACCCTCTGCACTTTCAGTGGTGGTTTCTGAGGTGGACCACTCTGTCAGAGTCTCTTCTTCGAAAAGTTAGAAAACAATCCATTGTGGCTCACAAGAATGTCCATACAGTACACTTAACGTACGCTGACTAGTTTACCTTGACATTATGAACACACTAAGTGCTGCAAAGGATTCATGGGGAACAGTTAGCCTCTACTTAATATTGTGTACTGAAAATTAAATGCTTTTTGTTGTTGTTGTTGTTGTTGTTGTAAATAGGCCAATTTATCTTTGCTAATAATGTGTTGAATTCATCTTAATGTGTACATGTGACAACGCCTGAACGCAACACAGGTTCCACTCCATTAGTGCCCTGCTCGGTTATAATTGTCCCGGATTCGGGTCAGCTTCGGTCTGGAAAATGCGGCCCGAGCTGTGCTCTAGTGCGCTCACCTGTGTGTGTGTGTGTGTGTGTGTGTGTGTGTGTGCGCGCGCGCATGTGTGTGCGCATTGGGGCGAAACTCTGCCATGCGCGATACAGAGAGCAGAGAATTGTAAACACGCGACCATGTAGAGACAGAAATGAGAATGCAAATAAGATAAATAACATGAGGCTATTTAGTTTAATAAAAGGACAAGGTATAGACCTGTTCTAGAGGCCTGGATATGAAGCGTCCGTAGCGCCAAATAATATAACGGTAGTTTCTAAAGAGCTAAGAAGGGAAAAAAATAAATAAATAAATCAGCAGCGGTGGTCATATTTCAGCAGTGTCGGTGTGCCGCTGCTAGTTGCATATAGGGGACACACTGCTCTTTTTGGTATGAGTTCTTCTGGGTCATCGTGTTCTTTTTCAGCAACGTGTACAGTTGCTTCGCTTTCAGAACTCTCTCCGGCAGCCATTCTCGCCTCTATACTTTTCTCTATGTTCTTACACTCGCCGGCTCTAGAACGCCTGCGGTGTGCAGCGGTGAAACGGGTCCCCACAGAAACTCGTTGTTTGGGCTATTCACCAGTATTGAAGTATATGAAAAATTCATAACAAAACGAAAATAAATACCGGTTTTCAGTACGAACCAGTATACTGCCCAGCCCTACTTTCAGACACATGTTAGTTTTTAAAAACAACAACAACAACAACAACAACAAAAAAAGACCTAAATTAAAACTTAAATTATCCAACAGTAATTTGGCGCCTCCCTGCAGTAACTCTGAGGATCTCCTAGGGGTCACGGACCCCCTGTTGAAGACCCAAGGTGTTATAACATATTAAGTATATTATGCATATATTAAATACATATAACACATGTACACTAAATGTATATTATAATAATAATAATAATAATAACTGAATAATATAATTAGCCATTTAGCTGTGCTACATAAAGCAATAAATGGACCTATATAACGCCTGAAAAGCACCTCTCTAGCCCTCCGTCCACTCAGAGCGCTTGAACATTACATATCACACTACCATACAAGTTGCACTTACACACTGATGCAACAGCCATTGGGAACAATTTGGGGTTCGGTATCTTGCTCAAGGATACTTCAACATGGCATGCGGGGATTGAACCGCCAATCTTCCAATTAGTGGAAGACATGCTCTACCGCCTGAGCCACAGCTGTTACACATTATGTTCTTCTTTCTTATTAAAAAGTCTGACAAGTGTAAAAAGTTTGAGAAGCTCCATGGTCCAATTTTCCACAAGGCTGAACACAACGGACACCATGTTCTCTGCATCTTCTGAGCATCTGCAGCTCCATATGTTTCTTCTCTTTCTTCATCTTTTTCATTCTTAGTAGAAGCGGAAAGTAATGTGGCTTTTCTCTCATTTTGTCAACATCGTCGTTTGTTATTTTAATAAACTTTACCAACAAATCCAAAGATATTTCCAAGTTTGCACCATGCATTGTATAATCACTACTTATGATTAGCATGATTCAATTAAAAACAGATAAAGAAACAGTCGCAATAAAATGGTGCCACATGAACATCTCTGCTCTAAAATCATCCACTTGTTTACGAAACAAAGAAAATCCCACTGCTACAAGTGTGTCATGTTTGTTAAACAATCAGATTTCACTGTGGTTTCCATGGTTTCCTTCTGTTTGTTTCTTAATCTTCTGTTCCTCTTTTATGTCTGTTCCTCTATTTCATCTATCTTATTTTTCTCCATCCTTGTAATTCTCTCTTTGTCTCTCCAGACTCAGAGTTGAACCACCGTGAGTTTCAGAGGGAAGTTCAGATCCTGAAGAGTCTCCGCCATCGTCACCTCATCTCTCTGTTTGCTGTCTGCACGGCCTCAGCGCCTTACTACATCATCACTGAGCTGATGGAGAAAGGCAGCCTGCTCAGCTTCCTCAGAAGTAAACCTCAGTTTACCTTCCTTCTTCTTCTTCCATCTTATATGACAACCAGAGTTTTGTGCCCCAGGATTAGGTCAGAGGGTTAAAGCTTGTGCATGGTTACTTTTTGCCAGCTGTGGTGTGATCAGTCTGTCTGTTTTGAAGGTCATAACTTCAAAGCTTGGGGTCTGATTCTCGGTGCTGATTGTTTTCTCTGTTATGATTTTTCCTGTTTCAGGTCCAGAGGGGCAGCGTCAAGATGTTGCGTCACTCATTGACATGGGCGCTCAGGTGGCTGATGGGATGTCATACTTGGAGGAGAAGAACAGCATCCACAGAGATTTGGCGGCACGAAATGTCCTGGTGGGGGAGGACTACATCTGTAAGGTGGCCGACTTTGGACTGGCCAGAGTGATAAAGGTAAGGGAGGAAGGAAGACATATGAAGAGTCTTCTTCAAAGCCAAATCAAGCTTTTTAAGACAAAAATTTCTCATTCAGGAGCCGTTCTACATCACAGAAGATAAGAAGATTCCCTATAAGTGGAGCGCTCCTGAGGCCATCAGACATGGGAAGTTCTCCAACAAGTCAGACGTCTGGTCTTTCGGTGTCTTGCTCTATGAGATTATCACATATGGAGGTGTTCCATACCCAGGTTGGTGAAATGACATGATTTTTGGGCTCACACGTGTTAAAATTATAATTAATGGCACTCAATCAATTACAATCGCTTTCTTTCCTGTAAGAAAGCTTTCCATTCCTTCTCACTCGACAAAGCCCCATGTGATGTCCTTAGTTGGGACAAACTCTTAAGCCTTGTTTTCAATAAGCAGTCTGGTTCAGTTCAGTTTGAAACACATTAGAACATTTATTTTTGCTTTTCAGTTGTCAAAAGTGATGGATCGACCAAAAGAATCGTTCCATATGCCCCCCGTTTATGTTACCCCTCTATTGAGGTACCCAGAACACTGATCCAATAAAAGACGGTGATGCTAGAAACACTGCAGTCCTGTTCCTGCAGTGGCAGGTTTACATACGTTAGTCAATAATAAATTAAAATTAAAGAAGCAAACAGTATTTATTGTGGTGCAAGTGGACTGCAAGCACATGAATGCCTCTTTCTTTTTTAACTGACAAGAAGTTTGGAATGTAAAATGTCTAAAAGTTTAATTGATTGTAATAAGTCATGCCCACTTAAAGCAGTCATTACCAAATTTTCAGTCATGACCCTAGATGGTGCAAACCAAATTTCGTATGAATCCTCTAGTGGAATTTGAGAGGTAAACTTTTGGGATTTGTAGAATCCTCTAGTGGCAGAATATCCCAAGACTGCTTTGGTTTGGTTACTATTGCTTACGCCATTTTTGATTTATGAGTGTTTATATAAAATGGAACTGAAAGACAAATATTTAATGTATTATTCCCAAATGGATTGACAAATCAAAATTTTCTTGATAACTTTAGACCAGCAATGTCTGTAGACAATCCTGCAAAAGTTTCAGGACATTTGGACCAACAGTTGAGTTTGCAATAATATGATTTAGACAAAAATTACGGAAAAGTAGCAAAATTTGAAGTTGACCAAAAAGAAGAAGAAAGAAAAATAATTATAACCAAAAAAAAAAAGTCTCCAGCAGCAAGTGTCGCTGCCTACTGAAAGGCTTTTTTGTTGCCTTTTCATCTTTAGTAGCTGTGCAATGATTAGATCTTCAAGTAGATGTGTGGTTTATGCAAACTTTCATGCAAACATGCAACCTGTTCCGTGGTCAATCAGCGAGGTGCTGACATTGTTGGTAAAGAGGCAATACAGCGATAACAGCATGGAGAAGTGACGCGGCTATTACAATCTGGTAGCAATCTCACCTACATTAAGAGTACTGTCTACGGTGAAACAAAACAATTCTTTAGTTTATGTACACATCAATACAGGTTGCGTACAGTCTAAGGGTACAGTAATAAAAGTGTTAAGTGGAAACGCTGCTTTATGGTATCTTTATTTATACACTGTTCTCAGCATTCCTTGAATCATTTGTTGTTAGACAACTTTAAGTCACACAGAACAAACAACATGATTATTTCTGGTAAAGGACACAAACTTTTTAAACGGTCCAAGTACAGTGTTTTCTGTTTCTTTGTGTTTTTTGTGTTTTGCTTTTTTAAACCAGTGGTGGAAACTTTTATTTGTTCTTATTCACTATTGTATATTGTGTTTATAATATTGTTTCTTTAGTTCTGACACCCCTTTGTCTCTCACACACATTAGATTTATTAAGTCTGTCTCAAAACAATAATCACATACCCATATGAACATTGAAACAGGCTTTGTTTGCTGTAATCATCCATCTTATACATACTGATCGATACAAAATCCATAGCAACATAGCATCATCTCTGTCACATTAAAAGGCCTGAACTAATTGAGACTGTGATCTTAGAAGAGTTAATCCTGCCGCCCTCATAAGGCGACTCATAGTAAGACTAACATGCTGCCCATTTCAACTTCAAAAGTGCTTTAATATAAATAACAGCACTTGAGGTTTCACAAGATGATGACATAAAGAAACAATTTCCGTATAAAGTTGCACCATTTTGATAGATGTGTTTCGGGAACTGAAAGTCAACCACTGTGCTTAACAAATATATTTATACATTGTGTGGTCTGTGGTTTAGCAGAGAGGTGCACAGTTGCTGCGTAAAAGCAATGATAAAGGACAGACTGTATCTATGAGTTTTAAGGGCCAGTGTAGAGATGCACCGATCCAGCTTTTTCAGTTTTGATACCGATCCCAATGCTGTGGCTTTGAGTATCAGCCAATACCCGATACCATGGTTGACCTAAAAAGCTATATACCTTTACATGTAGAAGAGAAAAGACTAGAGGCATCAGGCATTGATGACTACACAGTTCTTTCCTAAGATAAAATGAAACAAGATGAAACAGATTAATGCAATGATGAACGCAATGATTATTTTTAGCAAAAATAAACAATTGTGCAACAGCAGTTGAAATAGTGTGAAATACCTCCATACAGCAGATTCTCTCCTTCACTCCATGACGTATGACGTAGCCCGCGTCGCAATAGATTTAAAGAGAAAGGATCGCCTCAGGTATAGGTTGCATTTTCCGATACCCGATCCATCTATTTTGATGATATCGGATCAATGTATCTGTAGGCCAGTGTGTAAGATTTAGAGGAATTCAATGGTATCTAGCAGTGAGGATTACAGATTTCAACTAGCTGAAACTCCTCCTGGTTAGAATTCCTTCAGTATTCACTGCTCAGGAGTTTTTTACTGGGAGCTGATTTATCCGCAAAGGTCTCTTCCTCTCTAAAACAAACAGACAAGGACATTAAAACTGGTAACAAACACTGAATAAAACAGTTTCATGTTACAAATCAGTGTTTCTCCTACTCTGTTTGGCATGTTGGAGATGGCCAACTTGCCCAGCACCTGCAATTGAGTGCTCACCTATTTTCTCCGATAGCATAATGTTATTGTTGTCGAATGAAGCAGTTTCATGTTACAGACCGTTAGCAAAGCACCTGTTAGCATGTGCTACAGTTTCAAGATTAGTGTCACCAATTCAGTATATGACCATATGTCTCCCCGTCTGACCTTGGACCTTTGACTACCACATTCTCATCAGTTCCTTTGAATGTCTAGGTGCACTTTTGTGCACCTGAAGAAAGTCCCTAAAGGCATTCTTGAGATATTGCGTTCACGAGAATGACATGGATGCAAGGTCATGGTGACTTTGACCTTTGACCACCAAAATCTTATCAGTTCATCCTTGAGACGGAGGAACAACCTGAAAACACAATGCCACCAGCCACAGCTATCTACTGCACATGGGGCATGAAAATCTGTGTTTTTCTGACGCCCTTGCTTACTATGATGGCCGATGCAAAAACTTAAATGTCCCTATCTAGAGTCAGTGTTTGGTTTGTCTGTTCTGGGCTACTGTAGAAACATGTCGGCGAAAGCAGCGACCTCTGTAGAGGAGGACCTAATTTCTCAAACATGCTATCATAATTATACTCAGAAAGCCTCAAGGTGTATCTACAGGTATTTCATCGGAAAGAAATATTTAACCTCTCATTACTGTTTCTGCTCTCCCTCAGCCTTTAGCACCCAGGAAGTGTACCAGCAGGTAACCAACGGCTACAGGATGCCAGCTCCGACCAAATGTCCCGACTTTCTCTACAAAATAATGCTGAAATGCTGGAGCTTCGAGCCCGCCAACAGGCCAGATTTCAAGTACCTCCGGCTCAAACTGGACAGCGCCTCCTATGAGTTGGATCCTGACTTGTCTGACATGGCGCAGGGATCGTGATCAGTTTTTCACTGAGGACTCTTTTTTTAACAAACTGATTTTACAGACTTTTGCATGGAAAAACTTGTGAGTGTTTGCAGTCGGCAAACCTGCAAAGCCTGATGTATTTTGTTCCGTCCACTAGGGCTGCAACTATCAATTGTTTTTATTATCAGTTACTCTGATAAATTTTTTTTTGGAGCTGTAACCTTTTGAAACGAACTGGCAACAATATCTATAATCAATAAGCCATTTTAGCTGGGGGGTTTTTGGGGTAAACTCCAATAATTTCCTGTTTCCAGCCTGTACAATGTGAGAATTTGCAGGTTTATTAAGTCCTCTGTGAAAATAAATTAAAATATCTTTGGTCCATATCCTTTTGGTTCACTGGTAAGACAAAAAGACATTTAGATATTTCATTTGAGCTCTAAACAAACTGTCAAGGACAGACCAAACAATTAATCAGTTAAGTGCACAGTATGTAATTTCTCCCTCTGCCGGTCTCTCGATCAAAACATTAACAAAGACGGACTTTGATGACACCCTGAAATAGCATGGGATTATGGGAGTTCTTTTCTCCAGTGTTAAATAACCATTCAGAAACGCTTCTAAATCTATTTAAACAACCACCAGTGCCAATGAAAATCTATCTGATGTTTTATTTGTGTTATGTTTAGTCACCTTTAGTCCTCCATGTTAATGAAACTGTTAACTTGCTAACTTATCATTAGTATTAAATGAGTCAATAACCTATACACTGAAGGCTACAGCTACTATAGCTAGCAAACCAGCTAGCAAACTGAATAATGGGGTGGCACAGTACTGTTATCTGTGCTCAGAACAGGTCACAAAATAACAACAAACTAGCCAATCCAGGAAGCTCCCGTGCTTTGTAAGATATTTATTTTTTTAGTTTTAGTAATTTAGTAATCTTTATTTCGAACATGCAAACAAATGAATAAATAAATAAAAGCAGAAGAAAACAAAACAGAAACAGTATTTGTAACAAGAACAAGTGTAAAGCTACTGAATTAGAAAAATAATGTATAAATAAATAAGTAATAATAATACAAAAGCAAACAATTTACAATACAAACAAAAAAACAAAAAAGGGGGGTCTTGCACGAAGTGGTCTTGCATTTACATGTCCGAAAAGGAGTGGGCTGAAGCAAAAACGTATTTAATCCCATATATGTGTATGTATATGTATATATATATATATACATACATATACTGTCATATTAATTATCAATTTAACTAATCTAAATATTTAATTCAGATATTGAAAAACAAAACAAAATCAAAACAGATAGACAGTAACTCAGAAAAGAACAAATAAAGTAAACAAATACACAACACCCAGCTGTGATCAATCCCCTTCATCCCTGTACCTCGTGAAAATCAAATTTTTGTACATCTTCTTAAAACACTTCATACTTGGACATCCCTTGATCTCCTCACTCAAACTGTTCCACCGCTTCACCCCACAAACAGAAATACAAAAACTCTTCTTTGTTGTGCGCACCCTATAATTTTTGAAATTAAATAAACCCCTTAAATTATAACTCCCTTCTCTTTCAGTGAACAGTTTTGAATATTATGTGGTAGTTGATTATTTTTTGCTTTGAATAATATTTGTGCCGTTTGAAAGTCCACCAGATCTGCGAATCTGAGTATTTCTGACTGTAGGAATAATATATTTGTATGATCCCGGTAACCAGCCTTGTGAATAATCCTTATTGCTCTTTTTTGGAGGATGAATAATGAATGTATTATATTTTTGTAATTATTGCCCCATACCTCTGCACAGTAACTTAAATAAGGTGAAACCAGTGAACAGTAAAGAATCCATAGTGAATTGTGATCTAGAAACTGTTTGGCTTTGTTTAATATTGCTATACTTCTTGATACTTGGAATGTATGGTTCTTATATGTGGTTTCCAACTGAGTTTTTCATCAATAGTTGTTCCAAGAAATTTGATTTCCTTAACTCTTTCTATAATAACCCCATTTATTTGAATAATTATTTGTGTTTGTCTTGTTGTTACCAAATAATATTACTTTGGATTTGTTCAAGTTTAATGATAATTTGTTACTGTTGAACCATATTTTTAATTTACTTATTTCTGTTGTGATGTCCTGCAATAATTCCATTAAATTATCTCCAGAAAAAAAGGATATTTGTGTCGCCAGTAAACAAGACAAATTTCATTACTTTGGATACATTACATATGTCATTGATATAGAGTATAAAAAACTTTGGTCCTAAGACTGACCCCTGGGGGACACCACAAGTTATGTCCAAGCATGAAGAGGAACAATCTCCCAGCTTCACAAACGGTCTCCTGTTACTTAAGTAGCTTTTAACCCAGTTTAAAACTATACCCCTGATGCCATACCGTACCAGTTTTTTTTATTAATATGTCGTGATTTATTGTGTCAAATGCTTTCCTTAAATCAATGAATATTCCAACTGCAGTTTTTTTCTGCTCTATGGAATTGGTGATTTCTTCAATTAATTCTAATAAAGCCAGTGATGTTGATCTGTGTGCTCTGAATCCACACTGACTGTCAGTAAGTAGTTTATGTTTATCAATGAATTTGTCCAGTCAGTTATTGAAAAGTTTCTTAAAAAGAATTTTGGAGAATTGCGGAAGAAGTGTGACAGGTCTGTAGTTTATGAAGTGGTGTTTGTTCCCGGATTTATACAGAGGAATGACTTGCTGTTTTCATTCTGTTTGGAAATGTACCGGTTAGGAATGATAAGTTACATACATATGTGAGTGGTTTTGATATTCCGTCAATAACTTTTTTTCAGTATCATCATATCAACGTCATCACAGTCAGTAGATGTTTTGTTCTCACATTTCCTAACAATATCAACAATTTCTTTTTCGTCCACAGCTGTGAGGAACATTGTTTGATTGTTTTCTATCAAATTGCCCAGTTTTATATTTGGGATAATGTATGTACCATAGAATTGGTAATCACACAACCCAACTAACAATATAACATACCAACATTCTTTTGTCCAACCAAACAAACAAAACCCAAATTTAATTTGATATTCGATATAATAGTTGACATTTTTATAAGAAAAAAAAAAGACTTTAGACAATTAATCAGTTTTAGATGCTGATAAATTTTCTCTTTTCAATTGAATAGTGCCAGTTTCACCATCCATGCTGCAATACAAATTTTGAACATCTGTATTTCCATGACAACTGGCCAAAAGCTTCACAACTGGGCTATTAAAGGAACCCTGAGCTCAGACTGTCTTCATTTAAAACTCTGTCAATTAGGTCAGTCTTTTTCTCGGCTTGACGTTCCGACAAAATCAAAATGTTTAATATTATCGTAAGTTTTCAGTCTTGGCTGAATTTCTATGGCATGAACATTGTCAACAACCAATAGCTGAACTCAAAAAACGGGGGGGTGTAGGGGACTCCAGGGAAGAACAGTAATGTGAACAGGTCTTGCTTCTCTTGTACAGTGGAAAAGGAGGACACACTAGTGGAGTTGTGAAGTAAATGAGAGTCAGTGTTCAATCTAGCACTTATTGTTGTGAGAAATCTTAATTTTTGTCATTCCCATGGTCTCCTTCCACTGTAATACCACAGCTAACCAACAGAGACTAGTAGAGAGTTGAGGTGACAAAACCAAAATGTAAAGTTTGTACATAAATACAGTTTATCTTTATGGATTATGAAATACAGTTGACATATGATGCCTTTCATTTTGCATTTCTCTATTAGTCATTACTTGTTAATAAACCTGTTAATAAACTTGCCTCTAAGGTGTCTGCAATGTTAATATTTGGCCAGCAGGGGGCAGCACAGTCACAGTATCTGAAGCTCTTCTACCTTTCTTTTTATTGTACAAATTAGTCTCAGTTCAGTCGCTCTCGTTCAGTACATACCCTTCCAGTGTTTCATCAGTTTCTCTCAGACACAGACATAGCTGCTGTTCACTGGAAATGAAGCAGCAAAACTGATGAGTCATCACATGAATCATGCACTGGCATCTTTCAGGTACTTTCTGCATCAGTGCCACAGATCAACATGGAGTAAACATGCTCAGTAGTCTTTCAAACAGAGACTGATTGTTTCTTTTGTTTTATAGAAGTATTTTTAGACTCCTGAGGAAGTAAATTCATCCAGTTTAGAGGGACGTGTGCTTACATTTGTGTAATATAATGTTATCTCCTACTTCCCTTATCTGTTGATCATCTGATGAAACACTTGGTAAGACCGTTTTCAGTGTCACATCCGTAACTGATTCACTGCAGCAGCACTTGTGAAACATCACGTAGTACTGGTGTCATCTGGTGTCTTATCGAAGCACCTGCCTCCCCTAAACTGTAACTGTGACAGTGCTGAGTGAAACCCTCATGTCTGACCTGATGTAAACACATTATGACTCACTGAATATTATGTGCAGTCGTCTGTGGAGGATTATTTTTGTATTCTGCCTGTTTTTATGTCATTTAATGGCCAATGATGTCATGAATATATACATAATGTCATAATAACGAATAAGTAACTTCAACTGTTTGTTTCTCATTGATTTTAAAGACATGTTCAGTGTACGTGTGTATTTATGTGTGTTAAGGAAAGTGTCTCGCAGCCATAAATACACTCTTATCATTGTGTGTGTGTGTGTGTGTGTGTGTGTGTGTGTGTATCAGTTAACTGGGTCAGTAATGCCTAACATACATGTGAACCCTATATTTTCCGTCTGCCTCCCTGCTGTTCATGTTTAAACCTGTTTTGTTGGCCATTTTTAAAATACAGGACTGCCTAACACTTTATCAATACTGACTTCAATCAGCACTGACAAACTATTGATCACTTGTTACAAGATATTAACAAAAGCTCCGGAAGAAAAAAGAAAGGAAAGAAAGAAAGAAAGAAAGAAAGAAAGAAAGGACAGAATGAAGGAAGTAAGGGAGGAAGGAAGGAAAGAAAGAAGGAAGGAAAGAAAGAAGGAAGGCAGAAGGAGAGAAAGCTATATATATGGAAGAAGAAAGAAAAAAGAGAAAGAAAGAAAGAAAGAGATGAAAGGAAAGGAAAGGAACGGAAAGGAAAGGAAAGGAAAGTTAAATAATGGAAGGAAGGAAAGAAAGGAAAATAAAGAGAAGAAAGAAAGAATGGATGGAATAAAGGAAAGAAAGAAGGAAGGAAGGAAGGAAGGAAGGAAAGAAAGAAAAAAGTAAAGAAGGAAAGAACAGATGGAATGAAGGGAAAGAAAGAATGAAAGGAAAAGCAAATAATGGAAGGATTGAAAGAAAGGAAAAGAAAGAACAAATGGAATGAAGGGAAAGAAAGAATGAAAGGAAAAGAAATTATGGAAGGATTGAAAGAAAGGAAAAGAAAGAACAGATGGTGTGACAGAATAGACTCACAAGTCAGTCATTAGACGCTTTGCTTAACTACAGACTGATGACTTTCTCCCTGATTTTGTGTTTAGATGGGCGGATACGATTTCAGAGATTAAAAAAACTCCCTACGTTGCAGAACCAATAGTAACTCTGCAGGGCGGTCCTTCGGTGGCTCGCTGAACTCTTGTGCTTGTAAACATAGTCCCACTAGAAACACGTGTAGCGGTACAAAATGGCTCAGCCGTGCTCGCAGAAAACTCCGTCAAAGTTAGTGGATGTTTGTCGCGTTTGCGGCGACACATTCTCGCCAACTAAAAGAAACAAACATAATCTTTTACAAGGCCATGACTCATCCGTCCAGCCGGACTATAGAGTGATTCGCCCTGTAAACAACAAGGCGATTCCCTCTATAGTCCGGGTAGAAAACCAGCAGAGCTTTTAGCTATATATATAGCCTATGTATCACATTTTTCACATCACTGTATCACCGTTTAGACTAATCCGATGTTTGTAAAGTCTATAAACACAATGATTGAACAAACATTACTATTTCTGTGTGCACGTTTAGCTGGGCTAACCGTTAGCTGTTAGCCCTGTTAGCCGTTAGCTGTGTCTGTAATAGGTAATAACTCATTAAACAGTCCGTGAAAAAAATATCTTTTCCAGCGGATATCTTAGTTACAACATGATTGAGCTAGCAAAGCAGTTTTGTGTTGTTATGTGTGGTATTTATTCAGTTTCGGGAAATCACGATGTCTAGAAAGCATCAGCTGACAGGGACAGCTAACACTAGCAGCAAAGCTAACATCAGGACGTCATCTGTTAAAAGCCTCCCGTTGTCAGATACGACATGAAAATACTCCAGTTAGCTCGATCATGTTGTAACTAAGACATCCGCTGGAAAAAATATTTTCTTCACGGATGAGCACACGTTTGATAAAACGGAGTTTAATCTCTCGGCATCCATTTTCAAGCTCTCTGTGCGTTTGTTTCCTTGCGGACGAAAAAATGGGCAGCGCACATTTCCGAGAAGGCGTGTCCTTTTCAAAAATACAAGAGGCGTTGCTTTGTTGCCGGCCGTTTTCGCCGGTGTGTTAAACACACTTTAGAAAGGAGTGTCCCCAGACTATCAGAAGGCGGAGATCTCTGATTGTCTGGTGGCGAGACTAGTGACAGAAAGACAGAAGGCAGAAAGGAGAGAAAGCTATATGTATATGGAAGAACAAAGAAAGAAAGAAAGAAAGAAAGATAAATGAGATGAAAGGAAAGGAAAGGAAAATAATGGAAGGAAGGAAAGAGAGGAAAAGAAAGAGAAAGAAGGATAGAACAGATGGCATGATGGAAAGAAAGAAAGAAAGAAAGAAAGAAAGAGAAAGAAAGAAAGAGAAAGAAAGAAAGAAAGAATGATGGAAAGGAAGGAAGGAAAGGAAAGACAAAAGGGAAAGAAAGAAGAAAGGGAAGAAGAGAATGAAGAAAAAAGATAAAATATAGAAGGAAAGAAGGAAGGAAAAGGGAGATGAGGAAAAGAAAGAAAGCAATATTATATTACGTTTGTAATAGATTAATCTGCCACTTCTTTATTTTGTCATTTTTCTTAATGTTTTAAAAATGTCCAAAAATAAAGGAAAACACTCATCATAAGTTTCAGACTCCACAGTGACAGGAGGAACACTGAGAGATTCAGTTTACAGAGATTTAACACAGACAAACAACAAATCTGAACATATAACAAGCTGAACACTGAGAACTTAATAAATTACTCTCAGATTAATAAATAAAATATAAATGATTCATCTGTGGCCCGTTTCAGCTTTAAACTTTAGGAAAATTAAAATATTCAATTGTGTCTCTGGTTTCTTTTCCTCCTTTTCATACACACTAGTCTGATTTTTCTCAACACACACACTCTTTGTCCTCCACAATGACACCTCTGTGCTCCAGTGATGATGCAGCATTTTTAAAAAGTACACACATGCGCAAAACACCCCGCACATACATGACACCACATGTAGGCGGCCACACAAGTGTCACTTACATACAGTGTGTACAGTAGGTCACTGAGGTCTGTTGGGTCAGTGCCAAGACTTGCTGGTGTAACAAAACTGTGTGGGAACATGTGTGTGTGTTTGTGTGCATGCTATATGTGACTCCTGCAGAGTTATG